ATTCCGAAAGAAGACATTTATTGTCGATCAATTGTTGTATTAGCCACATTCCAAATTTGGAAAGATCCCTGACTGTAATAAAATAAATAAGCAATTTACTTTGTGATGATAATTAACAAATTGTTTTATTGGTGGATAATTTTATGAATTTTTCTTTGTTTAAAAATTTTTTTTTTTGTAAATACATTCATAATAATAAATAAACTCTATCCTCACAACAACTATCACTAAAAGGCAAGTGTTGGAATGCATGCATTGTGGAATCATTTATTTTTACTCTTCTATGTCATGGGTCTGTGTGGTTAGCTCCAGTTCCACCTATTAGTATGTGGGATATATATACTTCTAGGGGTCTACTGGATACGCCATCATGCTTATTAGATGAATATAATTGATTTCCACAGCTTTAATTTTCTTAATATTATTATCAATGATCTGCAGGGTATTATTATATATTTCTGAATGTTTATCCTTCTGCAGTTTCATTCTGAGACCATAAATATGAGAAGTCCGCATAAGTTGAGCAAGGATGTTTCTGTGAAATATTTATTCCAAGGGTTGATAATTTGTGGTTTGTTTTATTACCCTATCTAATAATTACTTGGACTGGCAAACCTTTGATTATTTAGTTAGGTTCACTTATTTATTAACACATGATAGATAATAATAATCTGTTGGCTTTAAATTTTCTGATTATTAATGATGAATAAAGAATAGAAGGGAATGAAAATTAAGACATTATTTTTGCTTAGTCATATGGGTATATGGACTAACTACCCTTCTCTTTTTTTATATATAATTATTTAGATGGTGCATAGAAGAAGATCAATAACAGCTCGCAATCATAGATCACAACATAAATTCTCATATAAATCGTCTTGATTCTTCAATTTCTCATTATAGAACCATTCTATCTCAATATGTATGTATGACATATTCATATTTGTATATATTTGTATTTATATTTTCATTATCATATTCAAATATTTTTTAATTTTAGCAGAGATATCCTGATATGGAGCGTCTTGATTATTTTGAATCTTTAATAGATAGGTTTTTACAAGGAAATAATCCTAATTCTTTAATTTATGTTGAAAGAACATGGGGCAATTACCGTAATGAAATTGTTAGATACCTCTGTCATTATCATCACCATCATCAATGAATAATAAATAAATTTTAATTGTAATAATAACTCTATTCTCTTTTTTATTATTTGAAATACTCACAAATGAATATAATATACACCCCATATGATTGTTTTTGTTTCTCTTCATATAAGAGTTAGCAGATGTCTCATAAAACATTTTAAAACTAAAATCTAAGTCTTATAATTCAAATATACATGATCAGATTATCATTCCCTTTTTGGTAATAATATTTATTTATAAGTCGTGGCCGAAATCCATTTGAACAATTTAGTTGATTATAACTTTCAACAATCCAATTGATATAACTAAGACCATAAAGTAAAACAATGATAATTTGTTTGTTTAGAGATCCAACCAAACCAAGATTCCAAAATCAAATGTAAACCCGATTTTTATCATCCATTTCAATGCTTCATATTTTATAATCTAAATTCACTGAATTGGGATCTAAAGAAGCGATTAAATCAATATAAATACAAGGTGTTTTACCATGCTATACTAATAAAATAAAAATTCAAAATTTAAAAATTAAAAACTAATAAACATTTCTTACCAAGCATATATTTTTTTTCCCAATTAATATAAAAACACATAAATTACTTTAAAAATGGGTAGACCTGACAGTAGAAAAGTCCAAATTAAAAGAATGGTCCAAGCTAGAGAAAGAAATCGTGTACAAAATAATTTAATGAATACAGACATTGCTTCAGATACAAACTTAAATACCAATGATGATGTGGAAATAAACTTAATTGAATCTGAGTCTGAAGTTGAATCTGAACCTGAATGGAGTTCTTCCGATAACAATGAACCATGGGATGATTTGAGAATGAATAAAGATAATCATGTTGCTCTTATAAGTGAACAGTGGGGAGTGGAGAAGCAAACTACTTCAGTAAAAAACAAGTCTTTTTTGAAAAATTCAATAAGAACACAACAACGACATGCCAAAGCTTTGAAAGATGCTGCTGTTGGATCTTCTAAAATTACTGATTTTTTTAATGTCAAAGCTTCCAGTGGAGAAGATCAACCTGATGAATTGTCAGATGATGGTGATCCTGAATATGGTTGGGAAAATGCGATAAATTCAGTTGAACAAGCTCTTGAATCCCCTAATTTAGCCAATGAACTAAAGTCTAAATTAATGGCAATTGGAATGTATTTCAGACACTTAAGTAATGGTGAAAAAAAAAGATTGAAGCAAGCGAAATAGTGGCAGTATCTCTAGGGTGGACAAAAAATTATAAAAGTAGATGTATTAGAGCTTGGGCCAATCAATGGATCCAAAATAAAACTATACCTACCTCAAATAGAGGAAAATACCCTAAGACAAAAAGCTTGTGGAAACATGAAGATATTGCTGCACAAATAGGAAGTTATATAAGATCCAATAAACTTGATATAACACCTAAAAAATTGTGTGATACATTATTGCCGGAAAATGAAAATAAAAGAATATCCGAAAAAACTGCAAGAAGATGGCTCAAAGGATTGGGTTGGAAATTTGGTACTTACAAAAAAGGGTTGTATAATGATGGTCATGAAAGACCAGATGTTGTGGAATACAGAAATAAATTTTTAAAATTTATGAAAGAGGAATATGAAGCCTACGCCCCAGTATTTGAGGGAGATAATTTGGAGAATAGAACTGATCCTATCTTAGAAGATGGTAAAAAGATGAGGATTTTAGTAACACATGATGAATCTGTCTTTTACTCAAATGAAGGTAATAGTAATGGTTGGATGTTGGGGTGTGAGCAGCCTTTAAAAAAAAAAGGTAAAGGTAGAGCATATCATGTCAGCAAATTTTTAACAGAAACCATAGGCCCTTTACATCTCAATGAAGAAGAGCAAATTCAATATCCATACTTACCTAAAAAAAGCTGTGAATTTCTTATAACAGGATCAAATTATGATGGGTGGTGGACAACAGAGAAATTAAAAAATCAAGTAATTGATAAAGCAATACCAATATTTGAAGCCACTCATCAAGATTGCATAGCCCTGTTTGCATTTGATAATGCAACCTCACATGCTGCTTTTGCCAATGATGCTTTAGTTGCATCTAAAATGAATTGGAATGATGGTGGAAGTCAACCAAAGATGAGAGATACTGCATTCAATGGTGCTGAACAAAAGATGGTTTATCCCAACGGAATACAGAAGGGGATGAAAACAATATTGATGGAAAGGGGATTATTTAAGGAAGGATTGAGAAGGGTATGTTCCGAATGTAAAACCAAACCATCAAGAGAGCAAAATGAAAAAGTAGACTGTTGTGGTTTGAAAATTCTGGAGTTGCAGCCAGATTTCAAAGCGCAAAAAGGAATAATTCAAGAAGAAATTGAAAAAAGGGGACATATGGTGATTTTCTATCCTAAATTCCATTGCGAATTCAACTTTATTGAGATGTACTGGGGAGCAACAAAAAGATTCACAAGAGAAAATTGTGATTATACATGGAATGGATTATTAACTACAGTACCTTTGGCCTTAAAATCCGTCCCTCTTTCTACTATCAGAAAATTTGCATGCAGATCCTTCAGGTACATGGATGCATACAGACAAGGATTATCTATGAATGCTGTAGAATATGCTGTAAAGAAATACCGCTCTCATAGAAGAATTCCTACTAGTATATTACATGATCTTCAATCAATTATGAATTAATTAATTGATTAGCTATTTATTTTTATTATCTCTATTTTGTTTATATAACTTACTTTAAAATAAAATTTTCAATTCTTCTAATTTGTTTATTTTTAAAATCATTATTTTGCTGCTATTATTATCATTGTTATCATCTTTGTTGTTGTTTTACGGAATCAATAATATGTTTTTTTATCATCTACATATTAAAATTTATCAATAAGCTGATTTAAGAGGATTTTATTGAATTTATTAAACCAATTTATTTTTATTTTATCATTAATGATGTAAGAATTTCATTACAGTAATTGACCCAGATATCCATTTCAGATAATACATATTAATATATAAAAGGATATGGTTAAAATTAGATATATAAAAAAAACCGGTTTATTAATGTCATGCAGAATATATATATTATAAAATATATCCCCAAATTATTTTATTATTTGAATATATACATACACTTGTTTTGGAAGCTTCATAATCTTTACAACTATTGAATAATTGATGAATGTTCTTTGGAAGCTTCATACATTTGAAATAATGAATTATTACCGGAATAAATGAAAATAAATGGGGAGAGAGGTAATATTAAAATATTAATTATTTATATATAATGAATGATATATATATATGTATGTATTAATATATAAATATTATATAGTTGATGAAACAATTAAAAACATCAAGTATATCCAAGTGGAGGATTATGGTGATGATGGAGATAAAGATTATGATGAGGATGGAGATGGAGAAGATGATGATAAAGAGGATGAAGAAGAGAATGAGGATGGTGAGATTAATATCATAAAAACAGAAATAATACCTAAAAGACCACAACTCGTAATTTACCTAGTTGCTGAACTTTTTAAAATTTCATTGTCATGTGTTTTTGAAGATCGTCAATGAATCAATGAAGAATATTATGCATAAAGAATAAAATAAATATGATAGAACTGTTACGCGACCATCAATCACCTCTTTTCATCACCATTATCTTTCAATTTGTAAAGTAGAATCAATTACCTCTTTTTTTCAATATCAATATCATCACATGGGCACAGCCGGTAAACACAGATTACCCCACTTTAAGTAAAGAAGACTTGCCTTGTTGCATATTGAATTTTTCTTTTTTGTTGTGGTGAAAGCATCTAAAAATAAGAAAATGAAAAAAAGATTTTTTCATTAGCCAAATAATTGACTAAGCAAAGCTACCTTGAGTAAAACAGGCATAAGCCAACACATGAGCCATCTTAAGTGGGGTCACTCCTCCAAAGAAGGGCAGCCAGTAAAAAGTTCCACCCACTTTATTAATTTTCGAAAAAAATAATAATTCACTGGACTTTCAATGACTATGAACTAACACATTGGCCTGAACTCAGTACAGTCGTATAATAGGACGATCCGAACAGCCAGTAATAAGTTCCACCCACTTTACTTTACTGAACTTTTAGTAATACTTGCCTTGCATAGTGTGGCCATGCAATCCAAAAAAAATAATATATACATTCTTGTTCGTTTTTGACAATCCCAAAATGATTTTTGAATAATAAAAATGCGATGTGTTTTTTGAAAGAGAAAAAAATGAATAAAAATAGAACATAACTAAAATGGAAACTCTTACTAAACTAGTTTTAAAACAAGTAATTCCCCAATTCAAAACTGACACTTTGAGATTAATACTAAGTTTCATTAATAGTTATTATTATTACTTGAGTAATCTTTAACACTTGCTTTAATCAACCTGCCTATATATAGCTATTAAATAATTATTGATAAAATCTTCATTTATTTTTTGTTTAATAAATATAATAAATATAGATTATACATTGTAAAAACTGAGGTTTGTTATATACACCATATTAATATTAATATGTCACCGTTGCATTCTCTTCTTAATATCACGTGATGATGATCTGCAATACAAATTTTAAAATTTTCAATTCTTCCAATTCGTTCATTTTTAACATAAAAAATTTGCGTGTAACACGTCATTTTGGGGGGTTAACATAGTAAATTTGTTAAACTTGTGCAACTTTAAGGCTTAATTCCTCCACAACTACATAACATATCAACAAAATGAAAATGTCATTTTGTAGAGAAAGGTCTTAGCTTCAAAATGACATCTTTTTTTTTTGATGTTACATTTCCATTTTTGGAGTCATTAAAGGATCTGCAAGACCAATAAAAGTTGTAGGGACTAGGTGTCCTGCACTATACAAGTATAATCTGTGCTTATTATTAATATGATTTATTAATATCTAGGGGTATGGGGGGGACAACTCAATGTTGCACATATAGATATTTGCCGATCTTCCAATTCCAAAACTGTCACCCCTTCAAAAATTAAAAATGTCATACGTTTCATAGTAAAAAGAGAACTTTACATAGAAAACTTTACACACAAGAGTTTTTGAACAGCCGATGCAAAAAAGTTAAGTTATTATTGTTGAAAGCTTTATACTTCTCAAATTTTCTCTTGATCGGGCTTGAAATGACATTGTTAATTGTTAATTACCAAGAAAACATATATTATATATAAGATTAATGACAGTTATACTCATTTTACTTCTGTTTGGAAACAAACTACAGGCAATAACAAAATTAAAACGATTATAATAAGCATAGATATTGTGTGAATAATAAGCAGGTAAAGAAGTAATATATACATATACTGTACATATATAAACAATTATTAAAGTATATATATAATAATAAGAAAAAAAACATCTATTTTTTTTTTATTACTTCAAAGATGACAATGAATCCTTGAAGAAAAACAAAACTAGATTATAAAGAATATTACAACTAATATATAAAACATGATAATCGGGTAAAAGAAATAATATATAATATATACACATATATACATATATATAAATTATTATTAAATAAGAAAAATATCATTTTTATTTTTATTCTTATTATTATTTCAGAGATGACAGAAGAAAAAACAGAACCGAATATTACAAGTAATATATAAAAGATTGTATATATATAAAAATAATGGGTATACTCATGTACATATGGGTCATGAGGTAAAATTAAATTTACATATAAGATGTATATATTATTATGTATTTTAAATAAACCTTATAACAAAAAATCTTCTGATACTGTTCAAAATGATGTGAATGTTGGTGAAAAATTTGTGTATGATAATTTGTTATTGAAAAAACATATGCGTAGCATTATTTTTAAATTGCAACATTGGTTTAGGATGGTCAAACATCCAACGTAGTTAGTTGGATATGAATCCTTTATAAAATGTATGTATACACAAAGTCATAATAAATAGCTTCCTTTATTAATAATCGATCAATATGAAGCAGAATGCACTTCAAAAATAAATATTTTTATTTTTTATTCATTATTTTTTATTAATATTAATAAAGAAAACCAAATTCCCGAGATTAAAACAAGTTTATACTGTTTAAAGTTGTATATACATATATAAAAGCTTGTAAATAATAAGTGTAACGTTGAAAATACAAAGAAAAATTTTTTTTTACAACCGATGGTATTTTTTTGAAGCTTTAGGAAAGATACTTTGAAAAAATTTATATCAAAAGAAAGCTGAAGGTTTTTTCTTACAAGTATGAAAATTTTAACTAGGGTTAATTTGTGAATTCTTGGTGTACAATATGTATGTGTTTCACGTTTTATTTTTATTTACTAATAAACACTATGAATTTCATATAGGGTGACAGTTTTGAAATTGACAAATCTATATGTGTTACATTGAGTTGTCCCCCC